GTCCCCGGCCCCGCCGCCGCGGCGCTCCATGCTGGGGCGGCGAGGGAGGGCAGCGGCCTGGGCTGGGCTGCACGGCCCGTGCCCCTGCCGGCCCGTGCCCCTGCCGGCCTGGGCTGGGCTGCACGGCCTGTGCCCCTGCCGGCCTGTGCCCCTGCCGGCCCGCAGCCCCTGGCACGGGGGAGGGGGATGTTGAAGGGCAGAGCTGAGCAGTCTTGAACGTGGCCACAGCAGTTTAAATCTTGCTACCACGAGCAGCACTGGTCCCCTCATTAAGGTGGGCTGGGAATTTTCAGTTGGGTTTCTGATTAGGTCACTTGATTTGAAGATCCTACAGCCCCTTACAACCTCGGTGCATTTACCATCTGAATTGTCATTTGTTCCTGCGGAACAGAATGCTGTTATCTGTAAAGCCATAATAATATTTCTAATCCCATAATACTTCTAATCAGAGTTTTGGCAGCAACTTTTTAGAAGTAGGTCTGATGCTAAGCAGCTCTGGCAAAAGTTTGCTGAGGTGGTGGCAAAGCAATGTGTGTATAGTCTCTTTTTCAAATTTATTTCTAAAGTACTGGGCTGAAATTAGCCCGAAAATCTGGTTTTATGGAAGACTAAATAACTTCACCAGTTCAATTTACAGTATTATTTCATCTCTCTTTTTCTAATCCTGCCAATCATGGATTTTTTGTTTGGGTCGTTTGAGGTTGGTTTTTTTTAATCTTTGGGGTTTTTTTTTTACTGACTTCTTATGGTTTGGGGATAGTTGAGGCATAGGGAGGTCTGTGGCCTCAGGGAAGGTCAGAAGTTTAGCCCAGAGTCTGCTTTTAAAGCTCTGCTGTTCCACTCCTCGTCCTTTGTAGACAAGAGATTCAGTGCCATGTGCTCTTCTTCCCCTTGCTCCTTTTCTCCTTAGTGCAGTGTCTCTGTCTATGGCTGCATGAGCTGGAAGGGGAGAATAGCAGAGAGCTCAAGGAATGGTAGGGAAGATATTTTTAGCCTGAGTGGAAATTTAAGTGCTGGAAAGGACACTGAAAAAGCCCTGTGAATACTTAACTTTGTCTAACATGAGCTGCTGCCTCTTTTTGTCACAAAGATCACGTTGCCCCTGCTGATATGATTATTTTTCCGGTGGGGGAGAACTTGAGAAAGGTATACTTTTTTCACACACACACATATATATATATACACAGACATGCACCCACACTTGCAGACATATATATGTTTAGGGTTTTTATGTATGTGGGAGAGACTAAATGTACTGTAAACCTCTGATTCCTTCTTTCTGGCTTTCTAATAAATGTTGATTAAACCTTATACTTTCTGTAATATTGATTCCCCTGTTCCCAGGTTATTGGCTTCACAGGAAATAATTTTTAGTTTTGTGGATTTTTATATTTTTTTAATTCCCATTGAAGGCTGTGTTATTGCACACAACTGTCCCCTCTTGGAATAGATATTAGTCTAGCTGAAACGTCAGTGTTTCTTCAATCTGCTGCTGCTTCCATTTTCTTTCTCATTTGTCTGTAGCTGCCAGGAAGGGGAGGAAAAAAAAAAAAGGTGTGGCAAGATTGATGTTAATATTCTTCCCAGCCATAGATGTACATTTAAAATAGCGTAACTCATCTTGTACATCCTTTGATCTATGACTGATGTAAAATGCTGCTTCCTAGCAGACACAGGGTGGTTTTACTTTCATTTGCAACTCTCCTTCTCAATGCTTTTAGTTCCACCTTTGAGAGAAAGTCTGAAAGAAAGAGAAAATAAATAGATCAGCCTGACTGAACATGGGAAGAATTTGCCCTCACCTGTTCCTGATAATAGGTGTTGAATGACTGTTTTATGTCAGAAAAAAAAAAAGAAAAGTTTTTTTTCCTCCATTTACTTTGTGCATTTGTTGAGGGTTTGTTTTTTTTAACATTTTTCTTTTTTACTTGACTTTTCTTTCTTTTTTCATTGCAAGCCTCTTCTTGGGGAATGTGCAGTCACAAACATGCTCTCTTAACAGGTGGTTTTCCAGATTTTGAACTAAATTTGTTCTTCTGGATTTCAATGAAACAAGGTCTTAATCTTTAGCTGCACTTCAATCCAGCATCTGGTTCCAGCTAAAGGTCTGTAATCAAGGCTTACTCCACAGAGCAATACATAACAAAAATGTGGACATCACTTCTGGTTAATGTATGTGCACTCCTTTTTGTTTTGCTTTAAGTCCGAGAACTTTGTTTCCTGTCATGTTTTGAATTCTTAGAACAAAGTGGTTGCATACAATTTGAAGTAGCTTCATCTGAGCTAACCTAATTCTTGGAGGTGAAGGATGCCAGTTCCAGCTACTTAGATGTGGAAGGGGAGCCTTCTAGTTCTAGGTGCCCTCGAGTGGGTATGGTCGCACAGCCTGTTTCTTCATCTGCAGACAAGGTCTGGTGCTCTTTGCCTTTCCTAACTCTGTTTCCCAGCTCACAAAATGCTTGTCAGGCATGATTTCTTGTTGCTCAAAGGTAATGATTTACTATAGCCTTCTGTGAAATGGAGAATGCTTTCCCTTCCTTTCATGCTGTGCTGAAGAGGCGTATTCCTG